AGAGAGAGAGAGAGAGAGAGAGAGAGAGAGAGAGAGAGAGAGAGAGAGAGAGAGAGAGAGCACTTTTGGCCACATGATAGCAGACACTTGCCGACCAACACATTGGCATTTAATTTTACATGGGACTTCCATTTAGAGAGAGAGAGAGAGAGAGAGAGAGAGAGAGAGAGCGCTTTTGGCCACATGATAGCAGACACTTGCAGACCAACGCTTTGGCATTTAATTTTACATGGGACTTAGTGTTACTAACTGGAGAAAAGTGCATTCGGAGATCAAACTAGGTTGGACATCATTGTGGATTTTCGTTTTTCCTCTAACATTATTCAAGTGTACACCAAACACGTGTGGGGCTGCAAGTTATCTGTTGCCTCTTTTTCTATCCGTGGTGGGAGGATGGAATGCGAGAGTAGGGGAATTCTCACAGCTCATGCAGTAAAAGAGATTTCCAGTTGCTCGAGTGCGGGTCCAGTGTCGTACAAAAGGAACATATCCGTTTCTAACCACATAGCAGCAGACGCTACAGGCCGACACTTTACAGCCACTTGCAGGCTGATGCTCACCATTTGACAGTGACTTACATCAGAATTCCATTTTATGTTACATGGGAATTCCAGTGCATTGCTAACTGGAGAGAACTCAGAGAAGTGAATTTGAAATAAAACTACCATCTTCAACCGAAAAGGGAACAAGTTTCAATAAAATCATTCTGAATTGCCTGTGGCCCGTCAATTCAATGATGATATCTCGAGGCTGTCCCCCTTGTAAATAAAAAGAACACCCAGTAATTATCGCTGTTCCTATACTGAAATTTGCACCAAGTTTGCAGCAAGTACAGCTATAGTGACAGCGTGTCTCATTTTGGTGAAGATCGTAGGCTGCAACATTTTGGCTCCACTGATTGAAGCAAAGACGCGGGGGAGGTCGTGTGCATGTCTCTTTTCCCACATTCTTCTCCTTCTCTGCCCCCTTTTCTAACTGTTCCAATGGTGGACAGGTCGGTACGGCTGGCTTCGTCAGTTGTCCTTTTTTGCTGATTCTGATGACAAAGAATCATGCTTGCGGTGCATTATGTGTGGTGCAATGTGCATGCGTGCGTGTGCACCCCCTAAAATAGGAAGCGGTCGGGGAAAAAAAGGGGAGGTTGAAGCAAAGACGCGGGGGAAGTCGTGTACATGTCTCTTTTCCCACATTCTTCTCCTTCTCTGCCCCCTTTTCTAACTGTTGCAATGGTGGACAGGTCGGGACGGCTGGCTTTGGCAGTTGTCCTTTTTGCTGATTCTGATGACGAAGAATCATGCTTGCGGTGCATTACGTGCGGCGCAATGCGCATGCGTGCGTGTGCACCCCCTAAAATAGGAAGCGGCCGGGAAAAAAAAGAAAGGGGAGGGGCGGGGTGTGGTGAAATGCCCGGCCCCACCCCTAAAAAAATGTGAGATCGCTAGGGAAAAAAAATAATAATAATAAATTAGGAGATTTTTTCCGGGAGTTGTGAACCTGAAATGGCCGTTATATCTGGCTCCCTGTGCTGAATGTCCTCAAGATATCTTTTGGGTTCGGAACGGTCCCATTGTGTTTGTTTTTTTTTGTAGCGTTTTGTTTTTGTTTTTTCTTACTAATAACAATCAGGAGTTGTTTCGGGGAATCGTGGAGCTGAAATCGCCGCTGAATGTATTCGAGCTATCTCCAGGTCCGATATAACGAGGGTGAAACTTCTGACACACAACGGAAGAAGCAGAGTTCTCGAGAACGTATTCTGGCCTCCACCTGATGCTCCTCGAACCAGAGTTTTGACATGCAACACATGCTCATCATGCCTGCATCGGACCTGTAAAATGGGTCCTTTTTTTCTTTTTTTTTAAGCCAGCGACCTCTACTAGAGGGGGTGGTAAGAGCCGCCACCTCTAGTAACCGCCCCTAGCTGCAATCAGGGAGCCTTGTTTGCAAGACACAATGAACCCTCAGCTTGCCTGTATCGGACTCGAAAAATCTCTTCCACACATTCGGGGAGCCTTTCAAGGAGCATCGCGCATCCTTGAATGTATAAAAGCTGGTTCTCGCTCCGGTACGGTCATGATGAGGGTGCGTTGTGGCCTTGTCGCACTGAAATACATTTTCAAAAGAATCAAAACTAAGCTCTGAGAGAGAGAGAGAGAGAGAGAGAGAGAGAGAGAGAGAGAGAGAGAGAGAGAGAGAGAGAGGG